CTTGCATATATTCAAGGTTAAACTAAAAGGGAAAAAACCCAGTAAAATTTAAGAACATTTGCTTTAGAATGGGATAGTATTGAGATACATAGACCAACAGTCTGACTCAGAATAAGCCACCTTCATATGTTCCCAGGCTCGATTGTTTATAGTTATAGTCACTCTGAATAGAATCTGTGAACTGGTAATTCTCGCCCCGAGACAGCAGAAGTCATAACAAAGTGATGCTTCTGAGCAAGAGCAGAGTGCCATTTCTTTATCGCTGAATGAATGCACAGCTCCCAAACATCTAAAACTTAACTCTTGGATCTCTCTATTATTTGATCTTGTTTCATACTTCCTTTTTTGGAGATCAATGAGCTGCAGTACTTCCTAATGAAAATATCAAGACTGCAACCTTAAGCCTCCTTAACCTTAGTATAGGTGAGCACCATATCTTTTGAGAAGACATGTATAGAATAGCACATGTAAATGAGAGATAAAACTGATATTTTCGTGTAAGTGCACTGATGACTGGTTAAATTTTGTGGCCAGTACCGTGACCAAGGCTAATCATTTTTTTTAAAAAAAAATAAGAAGTACCATTTCTGTCTACACGGAGTTGGTCATGTCCACAGAATAGAAGATGGCAGGATCCCCAGGGACATGCTCAACAGGGAGCTGGCTTCAGGTACTCTGCATTATAAAGTTGTCTGCAAACATGACATGAAGGTTGGCAACATTAGCCCTGCCATGTGATCATTCCTTGCAGACAACCATAATGCCTGCAGACAGTCCATAGCAGTGGCCAGAGGAGGGATGACCGCTGGGAGGAGCTCAGAGAGAAGAAATGCCTTGGTGCATCTGCAGCAGCACAACCAGATGCCTTCATCTGACCCAGCTGCAACAGCAACTTTATGTATTGCCAACAACAATTTATATATTCTGACCACACCCTAGGACTATGTTGATCATTAGTACTAGAACATAATATTTATATTGCATCTTGGGACCTAAACATTGTACAGAAGGGAGAGCTTAAAACCTAAATGTCAAGTTACACCTCCGTATACTGCCTCATTTACAGTATATGGTCACCCTTATATCATTGCTACCCTTCCCAGGAAGAAAATATCTCAAAAATGTGGAGGTCTAGAGATACAGCTATCACTTCTCTGCAGTAATTTCTACAACCATAGCACACCTTTCCAAAGTAACTTGCCCATGTTAACTGATGTGAAATGTTCTCCATATGATTGCATCCTTGGAAGATACTGAAGGGGCACTCCACTGAGTGCATGATCCACCCGTGCTTTTACCTGATCTCTCATCATTTGATTCCTGGATTGAAATTCTGGGAACTGAGCACGTGGATTGGCTCAAGTGAAGTATTTTTTGTTGTTTGATTGTGTTAGCATTACTTTGATGCTCCTGTTTTTGAATACTGCATACACACACATATGTAACAGGCTGGACAGAAATAAAATTGCTTGACATCCTGTACCTTTAAGAGTCGATCAGAAGGAGAAATATTTTTGCCTGTGTGCCTTTTTTCATTACAAAACGTTGAGAAACCACAGCTAGTGGAATTTTCCTGTCTAGAAGGTGCAGGAGTCCTCTCATGATTAGAAGCTTAGAACTAAGGGAAAAGATTAAGGGGAAAGGTTCTGTTTGATAAGGAATCAGATGAAGCATGCAAAAATATTTAGAGTCAGGAAGTGGCTTAGGAACGATAAAGGGCGAGGGAGCTATCTGGAGGCATCTCTCATCAGCACCAACCAGCAAAGCCAAGAGTCAGAGATGATGGTATATCCAGCAACATCTGCAGGACCCCCCAAATTCCCACCTCTGTTTAGACATGTGTGATGTGGAGAGGACAGAAAAACAGGAAGTAAAGAGAAGAAGGAGATCACTGCTATAATGTCGGTAAGAGGTGACCTGGGTCCACACAGCACATGGTGTTTGCATATTCCTAGGCTAAGTACTATTTGTCAAATAACCCAGTTTGCAAAGATGAAGTTGCGAGAGATAAAGGAGGCATTTCACTAGCAAGCAACAGAGGAGGTCAATATTGCCAAACTGCTTCTTTGCTTCTGCACTCCTTCCTTGAATTACAGCACAGCCGTCTCTTTTCATCCTGCAAGAAAAGCTAATGTACAACTCCAACTTGAGTATTCCTCTAGAAAAAGGCATGGCCAACAGGTAGATTGTGATCTACTGGTAGATCGTGGGGTGCTTCTGGTAGATCTCTTGCCCCCCACAAAAAGGGTGAAAACAACAGCAGTGGCTCAACAACTCTGCCTTCCTAAAAGAAGCTCAACGACAAAGCCACTTCCGGGCCTGCCCAGGAGGTGGGGTTGCGGGCTTCACGCCCACCCCACATGAGCGGGGGCTGGTCCCAGCCCCCGCGAGAGCAGGGGAATCCCGGTTGAGTCTGCCCCCCCAGCCAGCCAATCAGCTGGCTGGCTGGGGGGTGTGGGCTGCCCTATTTAGGGCCGGCACAGAGGGGGCTTGCCCTCTTTTCGCCGGCTCATCCCCACGTTTTCCCACCCTCCCTCCCTTTAGCTGGGCTTAGGTAGGTCATTGACTTTGCTATGGACTTCGGTCTGTCGCCGCAAGGGGCATGGTAGGAATTTTTCCCAATTGGCGATTTCTGGCCTTTTGGTTTTTCGCCTACCTCGTAGCAACTCGTCACAACTTCTCTGCATTGGCGGTAGCATTGGTAAGAAGGGGTTAAGAGGATGTGTGGGGGGGGAGGAACGCCATCACCTCCCCCAGCGACCGAAGGGTGGTCCGTTAAAGGACTCCGGGGGGCGTGGCCCTGTCCGAAGCCTATGGAGTGAGGGCCAAAGGCACGCCCCAGAGCGGTGACCCGGGGGAGCTCCTAGTCGACGTGCCTCGGCGGGAGACTCCCCCGATATAAGGTTAACCCTTCCCCGTGTCTCCAGCAAATGGGCTGGAGCCGGATAGTCGTTAGGACCAATGCCTAAATGGATAGATCACTGCCAGTTTTTTTTAATACTGTGAGTAGATCGCAGTCTATCGGGAGTTGGACATCCCGGCCCTAGAACAATGATTTCAAGTACTCCAGCAGCCAGTGTTCCACTTCAGAAAAATACCAGTTTATATTCTCCTTTACCGTCTTCTAAGGAGGTTAAAATCTACTGACTACTAAGGATGCCAATTAAGAAGAAATTGTTTTGAGGAAGTGAAAAGCAAGCTCACAAAATGCTCCCAATTTCCCAGGAAAGCCCTCTCTTCCCCAGCTCTTTCCCCTGCCTGTTTCAACTAGCACTGATTTACCGCATCTCCAACAGAGGTCAGCAGAGCCTTGGAGGACTGACTCTTTATCAACATTGAAGTTTATAGATGCAGAGAAGCTGCTCATATTTCTTAATGGGCTAAAACGATGCTAACACACGGTGTATCTTCATAGCTGGTTTCTGGGAGTAAATGAGATTTACAGAAGTTTAGTTGCCAAGGGTGCAGTTGGGGGGATTTGTTGAGGTGGTGGTGGTTGGATCTCATCCTATCTCGTGAGCCTGCCTTCTTTAGTTCATTTCATCATTCTGTTCCTCAAAAGATTGCATACATATAAATCGGACCCAATAAGAGGTGTCCAGTTTGCTACTATTGCATCCCTTAAATACAAAAAACAGAAGAATTATACTGTTGCCTTTCCTTTTCTCTAGGAAAAACTGCAGGGAGATGGGAAATAGAGTTGGTCTGTTCTCCTTCCTTGCTTACACCAACACTTTCCTAGAACTGCCTGCAGGAACATGCGCAACCCCACACATAACTACTGAGAAGTAAGTTCCATTGAGTCCATTTAGGCTTACTCCCAGGTAAGGAGGTATTGAGCTGCAAGCCAAAAATGCCTCTTGGGACTTTCCAACAGATATGTAGTAGTGGAAAGAAGAAACACTGGCTCAGCCGCTGAAGAAAGCAGGCAAGCTTATATTACCCAACATCCATTCCACACAAGTCACCCTCATCTCTCCAGAAGGATTTCTTTTAAAAGAAATGTTAGGATTGCATCAGAGTCCCATAGGTTCTCTCCGTTTGGAGTTTCCAGAAACCTCCCTGGTTCTTTGGAAATCTCCCTAACGCTAGCGGATAAGAGCCGCCCTCAACGATAGGGAATCGTATCGAGCCCTATTAATTCTATAAGGCAACTTAGAGAAAGAGAGCGGTCTGACTGGCTGAGAAGCTTATTTGGCTTCCTGTCCTCCTCTGTCTGCGCAGCGTTCAGTAAAGCCGCCCTTTGTCTCGTGTCGCGAGTATTAATTCATTAGTGTACAGTAGCCCCCGCCCCCTCCCGCCCGAGTTCCAATCGGATATCCAGGCAGGTTTTAAAGGACAATAAATGTGACAGCATTGGAGTGCGGGGGGGGGGGTTTAACCCCTTCTCTGCCGGCCCAGAGGATGCTCTCTCTCTCTGTCTCTCTCTCTCTCTGTGTATGTCTTCGTTCTACACATATGATCACAAGCGTCACTTGCCGACAGAATTCCAGCAATGCGAGCGCTTGCACTGCTAATTAGTCCGACTTCCCAATTAGCTCTTCCAGGCCGCCGGGAGGCTCCGGAGCTGATAGCGAGTGAGTGGCCGGGTGGGGAGGGGTGCGCGCGCCATGTGGCCCCGCACCTCCACGGTAAACGGCGGAAAGGGTGTGGGAGGGAGCGGAGAGAGCCGCACACGCATTGCAAAGCCCGGCGCGGAGCTGCTAATAGGGACGAGGGGGCAATATATTCCCTCGTTAGTAGGGTGGTGGGGGAACCGATAGACGCTTGCTGCTGCTGCTGCTGCTGCTGCCACTGGGATCAGACAACGAGCACAAAAGGAATCGATCGTCTGTGCAGGCTGGTGAGACAGTGGAGACGCCTCCCTCCCCGTCAGCTAATCCAAGCCATCGAGGAAAAGCGTCGAAATAATAATAGCAATGCAAGCGAGCGAGTATGAGGAGGGAGCGAGGGAGGGGGCGTAGAGTTGTGCTCGGCCTCGGAGTTCCCCAGCTGCCGATCTCAGCCCGGGATCGCCTTCATTCCTATAGATCCACGCGTCTTCCCTCCCGGGAGGGCTGCCCCCTCCCTTTATAAAGAGACTCGGGGAGGGGGATTTGCAACCACACCGGGTGATGTCAGCTCTCGACTAAAATAGAGAGGGATAGACTGCAAATCCACCGTTAAAGCCTTCCAATCCAGCCTCAGCCAACAAACACCATGGCAATGTGAAGTCACCCACCGCCTCTTCCACATACACACAACCCCCTTCGCCTCCCTCCCTCAAACACACACACACAAACAAACACACACACACACACTGCACTCCCTCGCCAGGCAGCCCTCCGGATAAGCGCAGAAAGCCAAGGATCGTAGCGCAGGTGCCCACCAGCACACAGCCTCGGAGCCCTTGCCTGTCGTTTGCCATTGACCATCTTCTCTCTTCGCCCCCCTCCCTCCCTCCCCTATTTCATATTCTCTCTCTCTCTCTCTCTCTCTCTCTCTTTCCACTACTACCCTGAAGACATTCAAGCCTCTGGAAGGAGACGTTGAGAAACCTCCCTCCGAGTAGCAGGAGCAAGAGGAGGTGGCGGCGTCGGGGCTTAGATCTCGAGCCCAGCCAAGCTTCTTGGATGATCGCCTTTCGGAGCCGGGAGGATTATACAGGGCAGGAACTAAAGGGGTTCTGCGACGCCCAAAGATAAAAGGAGAAGAAGTAGTTTCCCCACCCGGAAAGCGGCCGCGCGTGGTTTAAACCCTTGGATTTCTTGGGAAGGCAAGACAGGGGGGCTTCCGCGGGACCATGGCATCGACAGAAGGGTGAGGAGGAAACCGGCTTTTCTGTTCTTTTCCCCCTTCCTTGGTTTTCCGGCAGGGGTGGGGGTGAGAAGATCGGGCTGGGTCTCGAGTGGGTTGCTTTGCTCGCGCGTGGCTCTTCCGTTCCGTTGTTGCGTGTGGGCTTATCAGGCGGCGGGATTCTCCGCGTCCTTCCTGCCGACCCTACAGGATGGAAGAAGCATCCAGCTGCAGCTCAAGGCTGGAGAATGGCATTTCAAATATGAGTCTCCCTTGGGAGAAGGAAAGAGCTTTTCCTCTTCCCTACCGGCTTTTTAACCCTTGCAAGGGCTGAGGGCTAACAAACCGCTGCAATAATAATAATAATAATAATAATAATAATAATAATAATAGACTCAAGCCTGCAGTTCTGTGCATCATAAGCCTCATTAAAAATCAGCGGGGCTTAGTTCAGAGTGGACGTATCATAGGATCGGGTTGCAATCCTATATCCGCTTGCCTGAGAGTAAACCCCATTGCACTTAATGGGACTTACTCCTGAGCAGGCATTGCAATGCAAGGCTGCTCTCCTAGGTGCACTTGAGACTTACTTCTGAATAGACACGAACCCGGCCGCAATCCTCAACATATTCAAGTCCCACTGAACCGAGTGGGACGTCCTGCCGACCAAACATTTGTAAAACAGCAGCAAGAGCTCGCTGCTGCTTCCAAATTCTTAAGGGGTTTTGCAAGAGAGAGAGGCTCGCGTCAAATGCCGTTTGCAATGCCCACAAGGGAAAACAACCCGGAATATTACGCTGGAGGGGTTTTTGCGGGTTACTCAAGAGTTATGCATTGTGGAGCAAGCAAGCAAACACAAGTTTCTGGGTAGTATTCCTGCCGCGCGGGAATCTTGCTGGAAGCGCGCCTCTTGCGAAACGTTTCCCCGGGGTCCAAGTCAGGCGGCGGGCGGCGCTGGCGATTGGCCGCCTTGCTCGCGATTGTTTGCAAGTTAATGTCTGGGGCTCCCGCGGGTTTGTCTCGCGTTCTCCGGCGTCTGGGGAGGGCGATCTCCTCTTGATCCGCGCGGGGCTGCTTGTCAGCTTGGATCAGCGTGATCTGCTCTGGACGGGACCTTGTGAGGACAGGGTGTAAAAAAGAAGCAGCTCTGTTTATGTCGGTTGCAGGTGTGGGCGTGCGCGCGCTTCCAACGCGAAAAGGGGATTTGAATCAACCTGCTGCCGCTTCAGCTGCACATTGCTGGAAGGCGCGCGCTCACCCAATTGTTCGCACTCCTGGTGGGAAGGGAAATATATGCGCAGTACCTGGACCAAGACAGGTTAGCCTGCAGGAGGCTGTTCAAAAACTGCAAGCACTCTGCAGCTGCAAGCTCTCTGCTTTTCTGGGTGCAGGGACCCTGGTCCATAGGAAATCTCTGCAGACCAAGAAATCCGCACAGTATTAATAAGGCGAAGCCCTTTTAGCGCCATCCTATCTATGCGTGTCTACTCAAAAGTAAGCCCCACTGAATTGCACACTTAATGATGTGTTGTAACTCCAGCGAATGCGAATCTCATGTTGGCACAGCCCTGTGTTAGCACTGCTGGCATTTTCCTCTTTGCAGCCGTCCTGCTCAAAGGTAAATGAAGAGGGATTAAAGGAAAGGTAGTGGTTGGAGGATGCAAGTGGACATTGACCTAGATCTCATTGGAAGAGGAACTACCCATTTGCTAGTATCCTCTGTGCAACCTATCAGTATAGATGCTTCTTGTTTTAGGATGGCTACAGCACTAAATGCTATAAAGTCCCCATTGACTTCAGTTAGATATTTAAGCTTCTGCTGAACTCTTTCCTTTTGAGGTCAGTGGAGCCTGAAGGTAGGGCTGTATCGTTTAACCCGTGAGATTAATTATACAAACAGCAGGTGGCAAGTGTCATATATTAAAAGAGCAAAGCCCACCTATGCATGAGAGGAGGAAAGTGAGGGGTGATGCTTCTCCTAAGATTATGTCCACTGTGAAGCATATGTGCATCATCTCCCAACAATGTATATTTTCTTCAACGCTACTGATTTTGTATGCAGATTTAACAAATTGATTAACCAATGAATATACTAAACTTCCATTTCTTGAACTGGGTGACATCCTAGTTCAGAGTCCCTAATGTTGGCTAGATTGTTTCCATTGTGAAATGCTTTTCCAAAGGTTTGCATTTCCTCTAGTGATTGTTTAATAATAATAGCTACATGTTGTTGTTGTTTTACTACAATTTGCCTAGCATTTCATCTCTGTATCTCAGTAGTTCTTATAACAGTTCTGTAAAGGTACAGCAATATCATCATCCACGTATATACTGGATGGAGAACATGAATATAAGTGCCTTCTTTGCTCACCTGACATTTGAAGTAAAGATATCTAGCTCCTGGCTCATAAACACTATTCAGGGATGGTGAACCTATAACTCTCCAGATGTTGGGTCAGCTACAGTTCCCATCCTCCCTGGCCAGTGGCTGTTCTGATTAGACGTTCCTCAGGTCATACCATAAACATACATCAGTTTTTAAAACCCTAAACTGGAAAAACCAATATATTAACATGTCTTTTGCCTGAGACCCCTTACAATACAACCATTGGGTTTTACTTTGGCCACCTCATGAGAAGAGAAGACTCCCTGGAAAAGACCCTGATGTTGGGAAAGATGGAGGGCACAAGGAGAAGGGGACGACAGAGGACGAGATGGTTGGATAGTGTTCTCGAAGCTACCAGCATGAGTTTGACCAAACTGCGGGAGGCAGTGGAAGACAGGAGCGCCTGGCATGCTTTGGTCCATGGGGTCACAAAGAGTCGGACACAACTAAACGACTAATCAACAACAAATCAACTCATACTTGCATATAGATAGTATGTAGTACTCATTTCTGTCTCCCCCCCATCTATATTTCTCAGTTTCTTCAGAGAAGTGCATATGTTCATTCTGTTTTAATAGTAAAAGTAATGTAGACATTGGGCCAGTTTATACATAAACATTAATGAACCTTCCTGGATTTCTCAATAGTTGATGACTTGGTTGAACATGTAAACTGAAAAGCATTCTGTTTGTAGTGGTATGAGACTGGCATGCAACTTCTACCTGTTGTGTTTTGCTCTGTAATGGCTCTTCGCATCTTCAAGTCATCATTTGAGTCTGCAGTCAGCAGATGGTGTGATTCAAAAGTGTAAACCAGCTCACTTATTCAAGGGAATTCAAAGTCCGTGACTTTGGAATTCAGACTAACATAAGTACTGCTCTGGAAATATTAGTATTACTTTAAAGTCACTGATGAAGAAATATTAATATTTCTGTGCCATAAGCTGTAATCTATACTTTTTTGAGCAATTTCCAGAGTGGTAGCCATGTTAGTCTATTACTGCATAAAAACCCAAACCACATTGTCATCCTATGCATGCTTACTCAGAAGTACCAGTAAGTATTATTGTGTCTAATGGGGTGTACAGCCTAAAACATATGTTTAGGTTGGCTGCCAAAGAGTTTTGTGGCAGCTCAAAAAGTAACATTGATTTGACAAACGTGTTGATGGGCTAGAGTTGACTTCATTAGAAGCAGGGAATGATATATCTGATGGTGTGTGTGTGTGTGTGTGTATGTGTGGGAGCGGGTGGCACTGTGGTCTAAACCACTGAGCCTCTTGGGCTTGCCGATTGGAAGGTCGGTGGTTCGAATCTGCATGATGGGGTGAGCTCCTGTTGCTCTGTCCCAGCTTCTGCCAATCTAGCAGTTTGAAAGCACACCAGTGCAAGTAGATAAACAGGTACTGCTGCGGCAGGAAGGTAAATGGTGTTTCCATGCACTCTGGTTTCCGTCACGGTGTTCCGTTGTGCCAGAAGCGGTTTAGTCATGCTGGCCAGATGAGCCGGAAAGCTCATCTCTGTGTGGAAAAACACCGGCTCCCTTGGCCTGAAAAGTGAGATGGGGGCCGCAACCCCATAGTTGCCTTTCACTGGACATAACCGTCCAGGGGTCCTTTACCTTTTTACCAAGAGAAAGAGAGAGAATGTTAGCAAAAGAAGTGAGAAAGAAATAGAGTGCAAGAAATACTGACAGTGCTAACTTTAAAGCTTTTAGTATGTAAAATAATTATAGTGACCCCCTTCACAAAGCAGTGTTGATGAAAATAGAACATCTTGGCACTGGGAAGCCATTGTTTTGGATTTGTTCTTCTGGCATGAGCAAGGGAAAGGACTGTTTCTCAGTCGCTGAGCACATGCTCTATATGTAGAAGGTCTAAACTGAAGATCTGGAGCACTGGATACAATACTGAGCTAAAAAGGTAAAGGTAAAGGACCCCTGACAGTTAAGTCCAGTCGTGAACAACTCTGGGGTTGCGGCACTCATCTTGCTTTACTGGCCAAGGGAGCCGACGTTTATCCGCCAACAGTTTTTCTGGGTCATGTGGCCAGCATGACTAAGCCGCTTCTGGCGAAACCAGAGCAGGACACGGAAATGCTTCCTGCCAGAGCGGTACCTATTTATCTACTTGCACTTTGATGTGCTTTCGAACTGCTAGGTGGGCAGGAGCAGGGACCGAGCAACGGGAGCTCACCCCGTCGCAGGGATTTGAACCACCTACCTTTTGATCGGCAAGCCCAGGGCTCAGTGGTTTAGACCAAAGCGCCACCTGCATCCCTGGCCAAAAGTCTGACTCTGTGAAAGGTAGCTTTCTGTATTCCAAAGTTTAACTCATGATAGCAAACGTGATCTGGGAAGTGGGAGTCTGAACCTCTATAAACTGACTTCTAAAATTGGCAACATCCAAATGCTTTGGATATTAGTACAGAGACAAGAGTGAGATTATCCACAGGAGATCTTGAGCAATGTTGTGATACATGGAGAAGCACGTTCAGATAGTTAGAAATGGGACCTTGAGCACAAAAGCAAAACAGGGAGCATGCAGGGCTTAATGACTATGCCATATAGTGAGATTGATGTCCTCAAGTATACACATTGCATTGCTTATCTGTGTGCAGCATAGTCCAGTGCATATTTAC